CGTAGTAGTCTGTATGTCTCTGCAGGGAGGAGGTGAGGAGGCACCCTTGGCTATGGTGCTGGCCACTAATGGTGAACTCTCTTGGTCTAAGAAACCCATAGAATGCTAGATAAATGGCAGTTTTAATGACCGCATTCGTATGGGGTTCAAATGGAGCCTGGTCGAGAAGGTCGGACAAGGATTTGAACAGTTTAAGGTCAATGGCAAGTCTCTTGGGAGTTGCAGGGTCGTCTGCTTTGGCTATGCCTTTCAGTAGTGTTCGGATGGGGTAAGAAGTTAAGAACCCTTTGTGGTTAGGGAAGGAGGAATACATAAGGTGTTGTATGCCCGTGAGGTATAGCTTAATAGTATTATGTGAAAACTAAAATTTAAGGTGGCAAAAAGATGCAAAAGCTATCAGTGACCTCGAACCAGTCGGCTAGGTGATGGTCAGACATGAATTGTTTGTACAAGTGAAAAGCTCTGTGATACGCGTGTTGGGTGCTGGTGGATAAGGCTAACTGGGTAAGAACATGACTGTGCTAAAGTAATTCGTCTACTTCATGACAAGTTCTTGGAAAGTTGGTGCTGGGGTTGCTAAACGATCTGCCGAGGGTAGGGACAGTTTGAAAGCCTGAAATTGAAAGCGAGAGAGTTGGTCAGCTGCCGTGTTGTATATGCCGGGAATGTGAGAGCATACAATGTGGAACTGATGGGTAGCTGCCAGCCATGTCAGTTTCCTAAGGAAACTCAAAATCGCCAAGGAGGAAGAGCGACCCTTGTTGATAATGTGGCATATTGCCAGGTTGTCGGAAAAGCAGCGTACGGACTGACCTTTTCACAACCTACACCAAGTGACGGCTGCAGCAACTATTGGGTATACTTCAAATAGGGCTGAGTTAGTGTGAAAACCCTCAATGCCCTGTGTTTCTGTAGGCCAGGTCCCCCAGAGCCATTCTGTGCCGAAAATGGCCGCATATCCCGCTGATGACGCTGCGTCTGTCCAAATGACCGGTGACTGTGAATCAATCTGCGGGAGGAACATGCTCCTCCCATTCCATTCCGAGAGGAATTTGTACCACATCTGGAGGTCAGCGGTCGCAGGACAGTCTAAGGATATGCGGACATGGTCGTTGGCGAAAGTGGGGAACAGGGCGAGGAGCCTAGCAATGAAAGCCCTGTCCTGGGGGATTATGCGCATGGCGAAATTTAGTGAACCCAGAAGTGATTGTAGTTCTTTACGATTGCAGGACCCCCTGTGCATGTAGTGGCTAATATTGTGTAGGATGTGAACTACCTTTTCTATAGGGAGGCTGGCCATCATAGTTGATGAATACAGCAGAATACCCAGAAAGTTAATCAATGTATCTGGTCCTTCGGTTTTAGTGGGTGACATGGGAACACCAAAGGATGTGAATAGTTTGGTTGCTTTGTCTAGGCTACGTGGGGGGGGGTGGAATTGGATTTGATGAAAAGAAAATCATCTAAGTAGTGTATCACATTTGGGCACCTGCAGGTATTGAGGAGGAGCCAACACAAAACTTCTGCAAACGTGTCAAAAATCCTGGGACTATTCTTGGCACCGAAAGTGAGCTTTGTAAAAAAGTAGTAGGAGTCTTGCCACTTAACGCCATGCAGGTGCCACAAAGAGGGGTGTATAGGTAATAATTTAAAAGCATTCACAACATCCGTCTTGCTGAGCCAAACCCCCAACCCTGCAGATCTGATAGCTGCAATAGCGTCATCAATAGTGGAGTATTGTAGGGAAAATTCCTCAGATGGAATCAATGAGTTTAGGCTGGGGATGGCAGAGGAGTGAGGTGCGGATAAGTCTTAGTTTCTCAGAATTTTTGCTGGAAACCAGCCCGATAGGGTTAGTTCTCCAGCTGGAAAAGGGGGGGTTAACAAAAGGCCCAATGACAAATCCCTGATCCACTTCCAGTTGTAACAGTGTGGTGACTGCCGTAGGGTGGTTAGTGGCAGACAGTTGGCATGTAAATGACCCCTGTGTGAAAACCCTGGGTGAGACCCGTACATAAAAAATCAACAAGGTGTTTGGAGGGGTGAGTGGATAGCATACATGCAAGTAAAGGAACGTTTACCGGAGACAAATAAGGTTTCTGGTACATTTTATTAGGGCACATGGATTTCACATGTGCCCTGAAACAATGTGAGCACACATGCAATAAGCGTCAGGCGCTGTTGCCACAGGAAAAAGTATAGCCACCATACTTATTACCGAGGTCCACCAGCTTATGCATATATAGATCGAGTTCCTCCCTTCTATGAGCCGTGCATAGAATATCTCTAAAGATACCGAAAGCCAGCACGAAATCAGGAATGGCAAGTTTCTTACTGAGTCTGGGGTCTCTGGCTTTTAAAACCACCGAGATGTCCCCGTAGTCGTAAGACCGGTTTTCCACGATATCCTGGGAGGCAATAAGCAGTGAGACTAAGTTAACGTCCTTGCCTTCCAGGATGTCCTTTTTTAGATTTGCCGGAACCATGTGGGCAGGATTAATAACGTGGGCAGCTGCTTTTGTGGCTATGGAATTACCCGTTATTGCTGTGGGTATGGCGTGGATTAATTCGGACAGAGGTCCCGGAGGTTGTGCGGGGAAGCTACGGGCTTCCAGCCTCTCCAGCCTGTCGTTAACCTTCCCCATAGAAGAGATTAGGGAGGCAACCATAGTCGGATCTTGGGAGCTGCTTGTGCCTTCCCCTGCGTCTGTATTAACGGTATTGGTTCTTAGCAGTTTGAACAGTTCTGCTTTCCTGGCAGTAGCTGGGAAAGGAATACTGCGTTTACGTAATTCTGCAGTGATGCGGGGGATAATCCATGATCTGATGGACGAGGGGCTTCCCGTGTCGCCCTTGCGGGTCGGAGTAAGTGACCTAGCAGGGGTGCTAGGGATTGACATATCCTCACCATCGTCTGGGAGTAGGGACATACTGAAAAATATAATAGACATGTATGGTAACCAGGGTTGGGAGTTGACGGTGGCTAGCTAGTGCCAGATGGCGAAAGATTATTCTAGGTTTGTGACAGGTGAGGCCCTGCTAGTGCCAAGTGGCTAGAGAGGCTCTATCTATGAGTTGGCACGAGGAGTGTGGTAGCCTATCCGGTGATGGGCCGTTGGCCTCTCCATGCGTGTGTGGGGGGGGGGGGCATTTGGCGTGACTGGTGTCGCCCTCTCTATATAATTTGCGAGGCGGCTAACTATGATTTGGCCTCGCGGACCGCTAGGATTAAGGGGCAGGAAAATAACTAACATGGCCGTGTTGAAAAAGAAAACGTGCAAATCAACATACCTGCAGAAAAATTGAGCACTGGTTCTGTGTAAGAGAATTCAGATGTCTCTTGAGTAGGGGGGGTTAGCTTAGGTGACCCGTCCGAGGGTATTCAGGTTCCTGGGGGTATGAGAATTTTAGATAATGTACTCTAATGTGGAACATATACATAATATGAATAAATTGACGTAGTAAGAGTTCTGGGGGGGATTGCAGCGAGTATTGTCCCCACAATGTACACAATGCCACCGGTAGGCTATGTACTTTAACCGTAACCGTGGTATAATTATTATCATAAGACTTAACGTTACTACTATACATGCAGATATCTCATAACATATCTAATCAGCCATAAGTAAACATATATCATGTACTATCATGTTTATCAAGCATATCATACCATATATGTATAACCAGCATTTTACTAATTTAACCAGTGTCCTAATTAGCAGTATATGTATAAATAACAGCAAGGTATGGAACCGTAAAGTATTTGAAAGGAAAGTGTATGTTATAATCATGTAAGGTTGCAAACTGGCTGAACTAAGGGTCAGCCAGCAACGGAACGTACCATGGCCCCCCTTTTAAAATTGTGCAAGATAGGTAGACCAGGGTTTTAACCCTGAAGCCTACTATAATGCCCCCATTTGTGTGTTGCCGGCGGGAACAGGGACCCTTTACGATATAGGGGTCTGGTTGAGGCCTGTTCCCGCCCGGGCCGTATGTATGTCCCCCCCCCCTTTTAACCATCATAACTTCCCCCTTAAGACTGGGTTTCGCCGGCGGACGGGAACAGGGACTCCTAACGGTAATGGAGTCTCTGTCCTGCACCCAGGCCAGCTACTATACCCCAGTAGGAGCCCTGCTTACCGCACCAAAAATGGTCTGGTGGAGGGAGAGGCCGGTCGGGTTGTGGCCGGCGAGTGTCCGGTTCTGGGGCCGGTCCGGTTCTGGGGCTGGTGATGCCAGGCTGAAAGCCGCTGTTCGGCCC